TTGTAGGAGTAAGCAAGGTGAGTCAACTTCCTTAGATTGACCATTCGTTAAGTTCTTCAAGAGTTTTGTTAGGTTTGTTAGCCATCAATAATGGTTCAAACGTGATATTAAGCCAGAGTTGGAGGAGTCAAAAAAGACTAGACAACATAAGCGTACCTTTAAAATTGTTAGTGACGCTAAATGTTTTCATGGGATTATATGCCAAATTTGAAGCTTCATAAAGTGATGCCAGAATTAACGGGCTTAAATAGACGTTTCATCCAAATGTAGTTGGTTGGATAGAGTGTCAAATGTTTTTGCTACTTGCAAAGAACTCGAGAAAAAAAAGTGTAACAGCCACAGGGACAAAATGCAATGTATTATTTGTTGGGAACTTCCTCGGATGTCTTGTCGAAATGACCAGCAATGAAATTGGTAAAACTAGCACGCTTTGAGTTAAAACCAATGATGTCGTTATTTTGGATAGACGTGTTAAAGACTTCGCCAGATGGTTGAAGACCAATAATGGTAGCCACATCAAATAACATTGGCATAATCATGCCATAACGCAGTTGGAAGGTGTTCGTTGAACCCTCCCAAAAGTGATGTGCATCGAGCAACACATTCTGGCTATATACAGTACCTACCCTAGATAATTGGATCAGGTCAAAAAAACCTTGATCTTTCCAATCTCGTCCTTTCTTGGATTCTACGTTATTTAACCAATTAAGGTAGTTTGACTAGTTGGTATGTGGAGCCGAGCGAAAGACGCAGGTAGACATATAAGTAAAATCTAGAGGTTAATTTATGACTGCAAAAGGTTTTCTACGGTGGTAAAAGGGAATAACTCACTAACTTTTTCTACATTTACATTAAGATTAGGGTAAGGACCAGAAAAAACATGAGTGGTGTTAGAAATGGTAAAAGGAATTAATACATGCGATTTCCAAATAAGGGTTTTTTCTTCCTGAAGAGGAGGTTCAAGGACGTATAATTGATTTCTAACAAGAATGGGTATAGTGATGGAGACAACAAGAGGAATCCTCTGGCCTGGAGTTGATGTGGATGGCATTTGTGTTGAAGTGAGTGGAGTTTGAATTTTTGTAGAAAGAAACTTTTAAGTTGTGTAGGAGATATAGAAAAATGGAGGAAAGTAGAAGAAGATGAGAAGTCATCTATTTTTAGCTTTGGGGAGAAAATTGTTCATTTTCTTTATTTTTTCCTATTTTTCCTTTAAAAGAAAATAAAATCAGAAAACTTTTTGACAAGTGTCCCACGAAGGGTGAGAAAGTGGGAAGTTGGGATTGTGTGTGGCCCATTATTTTCCTAGGAACTTGGAGCCATGATGGACTTTCTAAACTTGCACATCTTGAAAAGACGTTATACAAAGTAGCCATGATGAAATGACGTCAAGGCACAACTTTAAACAGTGTAAAGTTTTAAAAACGCCACCTATCTCTCAAAGTTGAATCAAAAGTGTAATTTTTTTGGGGGAATTTTTTAGTCAAGAAATTCCAATGTACAAATTCTACAAGAGAATTAGCAGGATTTCTGCACAAACACATGGCAAGATTACATGCCTTTTGGTCAGAGACCTTGAAGGAAAACATCAGTGTTCAACATTGAAGGATTGAGTCTGGTACTTAATGAAATTTTCAAAGGTTTGGTTATTCATCAAATCGGCAGGTCGTAGGAGGTTTGACTGAAGCAGATTCAAAATTCAAACCAAATAATTGTTTTTTGGTCTTATCCAAACACCAAAGACACGTGGAGATTAATCAAAGGGGGCAGATCATGCAGAGGTGACGTGTCAGATGGAAGACAGTTGAACATTGAAGATATTTAGCTTTGTAGCACTTTAAATAGGGATTCTATTGTTAGAATTCAGGGTGTCAAAATCATTGTAAACTTCAATACTAACTCAAAGTACCCATAAGCAAGCGAGAAACGAGTCTCTCAAGAAAATGTACTTGTCTACCAGTTTTTACTTGTGCAAATAAAGTTTCTTTTTATTTCATCTACGTTTACTTGTTTTCCGTCTTATTCAATTTACTAATCTTGACTTAGTCAAAATCATTGATACATTCATTTCAAACTTAATCATTTTTCTAAAATAGTCAGCATTCAATGCAAGTATCTGACAACATTAATGCACACTTCCTTATCTCAGAAATTTAGCACAACTTGCCTCAGGATTTACTAGCTTCGTCCTTCGAGTAATAAAAAAATAAAACTAAGTGATTGCTTACCAAAAACATAGGTGAATAGGGGGGGGGGGGCGAATGTTTTGTACCACCCACAAGGCCCATAGTAAAATTTCCAAGAGCGTATTCAAAGGGGAAAGACGCACAAAACACACACACACACACACACACACACACACACACACACACACACACACACACACACACACACACACACACATATATATATATATATATATATATATATATATTCACTTTGATTAAAAGAAAATGATTCCTCCCTCCAACGTATCTATCACTATTCAATTCAATCAAACGATTATACGCACACCACGCAACATTGCTCGCGAATAGTTTTAACCACTCTTGATATAAAAGAATAAAAAAACGTCATTTCTAGTGTTCAAATCCATTCTCGCATTCACATTACTTCTCATTCTCTCACTAACTTAAGCGTTGTAGTGCTAATCTTACAAGTTTATCCTGCTCCGTCACTTGGGAAGTATTGCTCCACCGCTATACACTAATACAAAATAGACCTTTCGTAACACCCATTTTACAACGGACTTCCTGTTAAATGTGGTAATAAATCTTTTTTGGGTGTTTTTTTTTTGTATTTACTAAAAGACATTTCTCTACGGTCATAGTCAACAACTGTAGTGAAATGTACCTCGAATGAAAGGGTTCGAATTCTAGCAGAAACAATTTTCCATTTATCGTGACATAATGGGCTTGACATTGTATATCACCACAGTTCTTATAAAATACCACAGTGTAAGGTGCAATCATTTTAATATAGTTCGTATTATCAACCGTGATGAAAGGTGTTACTTGTTTATATTTAAGTGAAATCATCTCTCGCTTCAGTATATAACATATGTCTCTCTCAAAACAAAACCCTAACATCTCTTTCGATCGTCTCTCTAAAAAAAATTCTATCATCTCTGTCACTCGTCTCTCTCATATGGAAACCCCAAACTTGTGCAGTGAACTTGTCTTCTTCGAAGAGTTACCTTTGTTGCATCAAATTTTAGCAAATGACTATCTTACAGGTTCGTCTTCGCTATAGTTTATGTTTCAAAATCTGTTTATGTATTATTGTTTATGTTTTAATAGCTTGTTTCCTAATATTTGAACTTTCTGTTTTTTTTTACTTGTAGGTAAGGATGCTTGTTTCAATAACGAAGATGAAGCTAAAGTGAGCGCTGGAAACTTGTGTGAAAGACGCAGAATGACATCCATTCAAAATTAACACAAGTTTGCAGCTCTCTCTTCAGCTTCATCCTCCTTTCATTATGGATGTTATTATGGGAGATATGTTCGTTTCTGAAATATTCTATGAGCTGATTGTTTTTAATAATAGTTGTTTGTTGTATCTAGTATGTTGTTTAAGGTTTGTTGTTGATGGATGTCGTTGATGAAAGTTGTTGTTAATGTTTGTTTTAAAGATGTGTTTATTATGTCTTATGTGGTTTGAGTGTTTTTCCAATCACTTACCAAATATATAACTTTTTAGATTACATAAAAAATTATAATATGATAGATAAAGTTATATTAGAAAATAAGTACACATTTTATTCTAGACAAGATTTCTCTATCCTGTTATCTGCATTTCGTTGGTTAACATATATAACTTTATTTAATACTTGTAGTTCTTCAACCGCCCCTTTCTCCACCTCCAATTTTGTTTCCAAAGTAAATAATATTTTGTAAAATGAACTAGAGGTGAAGAAAGGGGAGGTTGAAGAACTAAGAGCATTAAACAAAGTTTTAACCGTTAAAGAGCAAAATACGGATAAAAAGTTGAAGAACTCTTGTCTAGCATTGAACGTGAACTTATTCTTCTAATATAACTTAATTTGTCATATTATAATGTTCTAGATTAGATTGAAATGTTATAGGTTTAATGAGTATTGAAAAAAAATAAGCATTCCATATAATTTATAATAAACTCAATGTATATAGTCGTTTATATCAACCCGTAGTTAAATGTTATGCATTAAGAAATATTACAATAGTTGTTTAAAGTAACAATTGTGATAGGTAGCGCGCTACATAATTTATAATGACGGTTGCACAAACATAGTGAAAAATATCATACATAGAACCCCCTACCTCATAATGGTTAATCAGACGTCATAACATTCTCTTATCAATTGTTATGAAAAAACTTTTTCGTAATAGTGATGATACATAACTTCTCCCCTTTATCTTCTATTTGTAGCTCTCAACCGAACAAAAATAATTATTGTACCTTACTATTTAGTAAGAATTTGATATGTTCGGCAAAAGGTTTTTCTAAAAAAAGATCTATAATTTTTTTTTATGTAAAAGAAAAATTTTATGTTAAATATTTTGATGTCTGTAATTTGATTTTTCATCATTGTTATTACTATTTGGAAAGACATGATGCTCTTTCTTTATTAAATTTTATAGGTAGGGGAATATTATTCCACTTTTTCTAGTATTGTCCAAACAAATCATGACATATACTTTCTCTCTCTCAAATTACCTATCATTCATTAATTATGTTGATTAATTATATTAGAAAACAAATTTAAAAAATTGAAAAAAAAAAATAATAAATAATATATTAAGACAAAAATTATTAATATTGTATTGAGATTTTAAAGTGATTTATAATTTGAGACAAATATTTTTTTACAAAGAGACATATAATTTGTATTATATTTTTTGTTTTAATAAATAACTTTGAAATTTAATAAACTTTGTTCATTAAAAAATTAAATGACTATTCTCTTCAAGCACATATATATGTATGTGTACACAATGATGTAGTCTTAATTATGTTAATTGCTATTTAGTTAGTTTAAGGAGCTTGTTGATGGACATGACTGTAACAATGAGGAGAAGAATGAGGCCAATGAATGAAGCAATCAATGCACCACCACCTCTCTTGCAATAACTCTCAAATTTGTCACATATTTTATTCCATTTTGCATGTGAATTACCATTCTTTCCCAATTCTGACATAGATGTTGCTGCACCATCTCCAGCTGATGCAAGAGCCAAAGCCATCTAGAATTCACCCAGTAAGTTAACAAAAAAAAAATCAAACAGTTTTTATATATTTGTAAATTAAATTTAAATAAAAAAAATGTGTCAATTATTCAGTACTGTGTCTAATACTGCAATTAGTGCAAATTGAAGCCCTTTGTTATCAAATTTGGGTCCTAATATATCCATTGCTATCATCACCAAGTTATGGACACTCACAATTCCATTAGCTACCACAAAGAATCTGTAACCAAAAAATTAAATAATATATATATATTTATATATATGATGAAAATGAAATTAAATATCTAAAATAGTAATATTATTTATGATTATTAAAAACTAAATCATGTTATGGACTAACATAAAAGTAGGAGTCTGTTGAAACTTTGCAACAAGAGGAACTGTAACTGGAGTGCTACCAATGGTGGCAACAACAAAGTTTTTGGTTTGTTTGTTGAGTGACATAACAATTGTAGCTGATGCAGTGGCCAAGAATGTAATGATTCTAATGGACAAAAGAATCCAATCCTTCTTTGGTTGGGTCTCAGGAACAACATTGGAACCAGATTCTAGGGTTTCTTCATTTTCTGAGGCCATTGTCAAAGTGTATATAGTTGGTGGAGTTAGAAAATGTTATAAGGTTTGAAGGAAGAGGTGTGTTATTATAGATTGAAGATAGAAAATGTGATGAAATTGATGGGTTGTTGAGGGTAAGAAGTTAATTAAATAAACTGTCGGTTGTTATTGACTTGGTGAGAATTATGTGAGGACGTGTGCAACTTGGTCACGTTTGTATATATTTTATCTTTAATTTGTTTATCCTCTTTTTCTTTAAAAAAATGTCACAATAGTCTCAGATTATGGGAAATATTTGCATTTGTGTGTTACCATAATTTATCAGAGTTGGTAGTAAGGGTGAGAATAGATTATGAGTGGGTAGTAAGGGTGAGAATAGAGTAGGTCACATAATAGAGATTTAGGTCTAATAACTTACACAAATTTAGACTGGGTAAGTTTTTTTTTTTCAAATATAAAATATTTAAATTTTTTTATAAATTTATTTAATAAAATGATGAGGTCTCAGGTTATAAAAATATTCTAAATTAAATTGATTTATTTAAATAAATATGAATAATTTATTATTATTATTATATTATATATATAGTACTTTTAATTTAAAAAAATTAGTTATCATAAAAAGAAATTATGAAAATATACTAAAAAAAATTTATGAATAATATCATAAATTGTTTTCATAAGTGTTTTTAAACAAACAATCTTACAAAACTTATACTACTAAGTATACCTAAATAAGTCAATCCAAACAAATTTTTAGTATTATTCATCTTTTAGTTTTTTAATTTATATAAACAATAATTGAATTATTTATTATATATAGATTCAAATAAAGTAGGCTTTTAAGTAGGTTAACAAGTCAACCATGCCTTCAAAAAAGTCAAACTCAGGCATAAAAATAAGTCTATGACAGAGTATCTATCAGTCTTAGTCTTAGGCCTAATAATATAGATGCAAGTTCGAATTTGCCACATCTTTTTTTTAATATATGTGTAGTGAAGTTGATAAAATACTTAAAAGTACTTATGAAGCAAACCATAAGGGGAATTCCTTCCCGACCCATAAGCGATTAAGCACAAGAGTCATATCGTCGCATTAATGGTTAGATTATTCTTAGGCATCCGTTTAGGACGATTGGTGAAGGTTCTTAAATAAGGGAGAACAAATGATAACCCTTCTTTTGGTGAGCCATCCTTACAAGAGACCCCAAAAAGGGGCATCAAGGTTGAGAAAGTTGGATTAGAGAGGGAGGGAGTTAGACCCCCTTCATGACAATCTTGTTTGTGTCCTTCATTTTCCATACTAGTCCAAGGACTACTAGAGATTTTCAATATCACGTCTCTGAAGAATATTATGCATATTTTGTGGGTACAATGTCCCATTGAGAGGAGGTGATGGAAATGCCATACTTGGTGTATAGGGATGCAACATTCAAAGTGTGAATTCCAATGCAGATCATCAAAGATATAGAAGAATTCACATTCCTCAAAGACTCCAACATCCAAAGTGTGAATTTTTAAGAATTGTTTGCTTGTGAAATCTTGAAATAAACTTCTTTCTTTTTGTTGTGATGAGAAATTGATGGTGAGATGAGATAATAGGGAGACAAATACCAGCCTTCTCGGGCCATGATGACGGTGGAATACTAAAGTGGTATTCTCATACACACAAGAAGAAGAGAGAGAAAAAATGAGATGCAAAAAAATGGAATGAACTTAACTTATTATAATGCTTCTTGTGGCGGTTTGAGCATGCAAAATTTGCAAAAAAATCAATGAGGATTATGCCTAGAAAGTATAAGAGTCAAATATTTTCAAAATATACCATCTAATCAATTAGAGTAAGGCCCTACTTGATGATACCCTTATATTTGTAAAGATCTCACATGCTTGCCATTAATGCACAAATTTGGTTGACTTGTAGGCTAAGATTAAATATGATTTTAATTGAAATTTGAATCATGTAAGTCACCTAATCGGTATTGTGGAAGCAAATAATAAAACACTTATTTAAAGGGTTAATCAAAGTATAGAGATTATTCAACCTTTAAATGGTGGACCACCTTAACTATCAAGTAACCTTGATAAAAAAATCCTTCTTTTGAGGGAACATCAACAAGTTATCATATGTCCTTCTCATTGATTATTGGATGCGAGAATTGCTTAAACACAAGATAGATATGCCCACTACAGACTTATCATATTAACCTACTAATATGTTAGACAATTATCATATATCACTGTTGAAGAGACCATCCTCAATGAGTATTTTCTTTGATCGCGATCGTTGATATACATTATTACACCCGAGGCCAAAGAGGCTAGGAGTGGTTATAACATCCAAGGCCAAAGAGGGCGGGGAGCGATTGCCTGAATTCACGTTGGAATGAGAGGATCCTAAGGTTGCGCAGGCATGAGATTGCATGGTTGAAGGAAGAATTATCCGTAATTACTTATACCAACAGGGTGCATCTTCTTTTCGGTAGCCTAACAAATAAAACTCCTTAGTTAAGCGTGATTGACTTGCAGTAGTATTTTGATGGGTGATGTTATGGGAAGTTTCTTGTAAAACGTGTGAGTAAGGAAAAAGAATGCTGAAAAGACTCGTGTTGGTTTGTGGAGTCAGTTGGTAATTCTGAAAGCACTTTGGGGAGTTACATACACCATCCACGCGCATTCATGGATCACAAGATTTAGATCAAATAGATATTATTTCATACTTGAAAAAAATGATTTTGTTTGCACAACTTCTTTTAATAAGCACTAAGACTTCATTAAAGGTGTAACGCATACCTACAAAGCACACTAGGTTTTCACCTTTGGTACCCAAATTTTCTTGGATCCTGGTGCGTAAGTAGTTCTAAGAGGTCTAGGGTTATTAGCTTTATACCTTATCAATTTTATGAAGACGAGCTCTTAATTGGAGACGAAGACAAATTGATTTGAAGAAGGAAAATATCTCAAGATTGAATAAGTCTTAAGTCAAGGATTGATCATGCTTAAGTTATGGATATCAAGGGATTGGATCATGTATTAAGGTACAATAGCAATTCTATTATGTATAAGCTTTAGGTGCTCAAAACCCTTCATCTAAACCCTTCTAAAATTTCCATATCATTTATGCATAATTTTTATTCAAGGCACACATTTTAAAACACAAAGATTTAATTTTCAAAAGTGTGCAATCGATTGACCCTATAGTGCAATCGATTGCTTGTTGGCTACTGACCTTCAAAATTGGATTTCTTTAAAGTTCCAATTGATTGATCCAAAGGGACAATCAGTTGAGGGGTCATTTTTCCTTGAAAATTTGAGCATACAATCTATTGATCAAGATAAGCAATCAATTTCTCTTTAGTATTTGGTAATTTTTTTTAACATTACACATAGAACAATCGATTGATCCAATAGTGCAATTGATTTCTTCCTGAAGCATTGTGAAAAATCTAACTCATTGTGATGCCTGTTCATTGCACATGTTCATGAAATCTTTTCCAAAACATTGCAATCCATCATGAACATTTTCCATTCATCGCTACTCATCCTAGAGGCATCTTATGTTTTATTTAAAGCAGAAAAATTTTATACACAGTCCTCTTAAAACAATTCATCATAATTTTCAAACAATTCATCTGCTTTTCAAAGTTTTCATACACAGTCCTCTTAAAAACTTTTACTGCATAATTTCATACATTAGAGAAAAAGTTTCTTCAAACATTGAGAACTTAGAGTTTATTTCTTCTTGAATTATTTATTAGAAAGAGAAGATAAGTTTTAGCATTTTGGAAATAATCCAAAATCACTTGTACTCAATATATCATTTCTTAATCAGTTGCAACTTATTCACCAAGTTTGTGGTAACAAGCAAGTATAGAAGAAACTAGTGTTCTTTCTCTGAGTGTTGTAAGAAAATAAAGTGGTGTGATTTATTGATTTTGTTAGAAGATTGTATAGGGTCTTAGAGTGAGGCTATAAAAATATCTAACATACTTAAAATCCTTTACGGGCTATGAATGGGTTAGACGTACCCTTGAAGTTAAGATGACCTAGTATAATTCTCGTGTCTCATTTACTTTCCAGCACTTTATTTATTTATTTTTTACATTTTTGTTCTAAGTTCTTCATCATAATTCCGGAAAAATAAAAAGGAAAGAATCATCGATGAAACACGAGAAAAATTCATAAAACTTAATTTATCCCCCTAGGTTGCATTTTATAGTTACAATTGGCATCCGAGTAGGTTAAGGTAACTTGCTCCATGATTCGGGTAGATATGGCTTCCGCAAAACCGTTCTTAGAAGATGGTGGCAATAGCAAAAAATTTCCATGCTTCGTTGGTGAATATTACTAATTCTTGAAAATTCACATGAAAATACACTTAGAAACACAAGGAGAAAAAATGTGGAATGTTGTTGAAAATGATCCATTCGTTCCTATAATGATCATAAACAACGTAGAATAAATAAATGTGAAAGTCTCTTGGAATGATGACGATAAGAAGAAAGTGTTGTATTGTTCCTTTTTTGAGTGGCTACATTATGAAAAAACATGGTATGAACACATGTTGGACATGATGTTTTAACTGGTGTGACACATCTGACCCTAACTACTTTTGTGAAGAAAGACACATGTGAGAATAGATGTCCCAACATGTCGCCCTTTTCTGTATGACAAAGTTGTTGCTGTATGTGCGTGTTTTTCAAATGTTTGTAGCATGTTTTCTATGACTTGTGTGACAAGGCTTGATTCTATCTTTTAGAAATTTGATTTATTTTATTATTTAATTGAACTTAAATCAAGGATATTTAAATTTGAATTCAATTCAAATCAAATCGTTTGTGGAGCTATTTTTGTGGAACAAACCTAGCCGAATCTATGTCATATCTCAACGAAATCAATGCCAAAATACAAGGAGAAAAAAATACAAACTATGGATTTATATATAGAGATACTTTATCAAGCCTTGAAGACCAACGAGCTTGAGTGTTATTTTATTTCAGGTTGATTCCTTGTTTGTTATTT